GTGCCTCTCTCTTTCTCTCTCAGAGTGCCTCTCTCTTTCTCTCTCAGAGTGCCTCTCTCTCTCTCTGAGTCCCTCCCCCTCTCTCTCTCTCTCTCTCTCTCTTTCAGAGTCCCCCTCTCTCTCTCCCACCAAGGTCAAACCATCCACGCAGATCTCCCAAGCTCCCATTCTGTACACAATATATAAAAAGCTGTAGAAAACAAACGTGTTCGCTGGAGAGTCGCACATTGCCTTGAATAACAAACCATCTTACTTTGACTTTGACACACACAAAAATTTGAAGCATACATCAAATGTACCCTATAGACCATCAGCTCTGGTGGGATTGGGGGGGGGGGGGGGGGGGGGGATCTTTCCAAGATTCTATTTCTACGAACGAAAAAAAAAATGTGCGAAGTTATGTTTATATATATATATATAATTATAGGTCTTTTCTACCACACCTTGCATCACTGAAAAGGTCATTATCTAAGAGGCGGGACCTCCTATTTCAACATCCATCTCCGACAGGAACAAGCCAAATGGGAAACTTCATATAAAGTAAGTACCTTTCCCAAGGACACAACGTCAGACCGAGGTAAGATTCGATCCCTCTCTCCTCACGATTACATGTCTGGTAGCCTAACCACTAGACTACCAACGCCACTTCTTCCAAGACCACTAAAGACACCACGAAGAGGAAGCAAAAGGCAGCGTAGTAGTACAAGTCTGAATAGTACAAATATACTGCAGTAACGCAAGTGATCTCATTATTTTTGGGAGGGTATTCAGAAAGAGTTTTACAGCACTTGCAATACAATAAGGTCATATAAAGTTCCGAAGATTACATGTTACAAGAGAGTAACAAAAACTCCCACAAAAACAAAAGAGGAGAGATGAGGACGATAGATGTTTGACAGAAAAAAGGGAGTAAACCACACCAGAGCACCCGCCAACCACCCGCTGGCAATCCCATCCAACAGATTGAAATCATCAAGCGGTGGTTGCGATAGCGACCAGGGTCTAAAAATGTGTTTGTCTTGGAAAGTTCAGGAAGCCGGCTGTTTTAACTTTAACCATGGCTGTCAGGATCATCAGGCAGGCTTTAACGTGGAACCCACAAGGAAAACGTAAGAAGGGAAGACCAAAGATGACATGGATGCAAGCGGTAGCCTACAAGCGGAAATTGAAAAAAGCGGGGACATCATGGAAACAGCTAGAAAAGGATGCTCAGGACAGGCTTCGCTGGAGTAATGTTGTTGATGGCCTGTGCTCCACTGGGAGTTAAAAAGGGCAAGAGAGAGAGATGGCTGTCAGGGCCTTCCGAGGCTCAGTGGGATACAATGTCCTTGCAAACCCATGTAGATACAGTAGAACACGAATAGGTCGAACACAGAAGACTCGAAATCACGCATCAGTCGAACTGTGCCTGCGGTATCACTAGTATCAGGTTTTTCTTCTTTATCTATGTAAGATATCCCTCGAACTACCGAAGAGGCCAGTCTCAACGGATTCGATTTAGTTTTAGTAGAGGTTTTACAGCACTTGCAACACAATAAGGCCACATAAGTGCTAAAGATTAGAGGTGTTACAAGAGAGTAATAACAAATGTAAAAAAAGGAGGAGAGATAAGGATGATAGATGCTTAAGAGGAAAGAAGGAGCAAACCACACCAGTGCACCCACCAACCACCCACAGCATCAGGTTTTTCTCCTTTATCTTTGTAAGATATCCCTCGAACTACCGAGGAGGCCAGTCCCGGCGAATTCGAGCTATCTGTGTTATACTGTACTCGATAAAAGGGAAGAAAAAAACAAAAATCTTCCCCACTCAGGAATCGAACTGGCGTCTCCAGCATGCAGTGGCGAAGAGCCTGACCGCTACACCACAGTCGCTGGCCAGTCCATCAGGCCGCCACCAGAGCCAAGGGGGAGAATTTCCACACCAGGTCTTGGTAGTAGTGGAGCACACACACACAGCACAAGCAAACTACACACTCACACACAGCACAAGCAAACTACACACACACACAACACAAGCAAACTACACACACACACACACACACAGCACAAGCAAACTACACACTCAGGCAGCAACAATGGCGCACAACACAGCTCACTTCCCAAACATAAACACATGAAAAAACCCACACATGAACATACACACAAACAAAACACACACTAAACAACACAGACACAAAATCCGACACAAACATACGTCACACAAAAACTCAAACACACACAGACAAAAAAACGGACACACCCCCACACAGGCTAATTAATGCACAAGCAGTGAAAACGCATGCACTGCACCCACATAGACAAAAAAACGCACATTCCCACACATTAACACACACCAAAAAAAACCCCACCCTCACAAATAAACACACACACACACACACACACACCGACACACAGGCTAATGCACAGAAAGAGAAATCTTACAGAACTACTAGGATCATGCCAGCGAGCCGCAAGAAGCAACCCTACCACCTCCACTGAGGTCATGCAGCAAAAACCATCACTGCAACATCCTCATCATCATCATCATCACCGCCATCATCATCATCGCTCATTCCTCATCCTACTCATCATCATCACCCCCACACAACAGCTACTACAACAACCCTCACCACCACGACAACCACCATCACCATTGTCTTCCCCCTCATCCTCCTCCATATCATCACCGTCATCATCAGCCATAATAATATTATTATTAATAATAATAATAATAATGATAATAATAATAATAATAATAACCAGAGTCCACAGTGCTACAATGATGACAGGACACAAGACCAATGTTAGTGGCAGCCAAGCACATCAAGTATTCTGTATTCTATTCCAACATTCATATATCACAATCCACCGAAGAGTGTAGTGAGAACGAGCATATAATATATCATCTCGTACGATGCCAATCACACAGTATATCGTCATCATCATCATCATCATCACACATCAGAATTATGTTTAAAAAAAAAAAAATTTTTAAAGGGCTCGGGGGGAAAATAACAATTTTAAAAAACCTTGCAAACGGGGCGGGAGAGGAATGAAAAGATACATTCATTAAAGAAACAAACTAAAAATGAAAAGATACATTCATTTAAGAAACAGAACAAATAAAAAAAACTAACGAAAAAAATGATAACATACACGTTCATCTTAGAAATGAAAAACGTACGTTGACGGGAATGGAAATAAATATCGTTATAAAATAAAGCAAACAGAAAATTATAAAGTTATGTAGAGTGGATGTGGATGATAAAGAAAAAGAGAGAGAGAGAGAGAGAGAGGGGGGGCAAGAGGAGGAATCTCGCGAGAAAAGAAAAAATAAGCCAATGTTCTACCCATTCTCCGTACCCATTACAAGATCCAAAGTGATTACTTTCTTCACCAGTACATCTGACTCACTAACCAGGGATAGGCCGGTTGGAGGTGGGATGGTGGGGATGAAGGTGGGATGGAGATGCATGTTCTTTCTGGAGTAAGTAAAAAAAAAAGATTCTTAGGAATGAGGGAAGGAGTAAACAAACAAAAACGTGATCAGAAAAGTTTCCCCATCGAGCGACGACGTCGCAACAGCCAGAGGGCCCTTCCTTTCCTGTCGCGTCTCCGTCCAACACCACAAACACACGTTCGCAAATGTTCTAATGACCTTTGAATAACAACAGCAAAGAGACGAGTCAGTCATATTCTGACCCCCCCACATCCTCCCACCCCCACCCCCTCCAAAAAAAACAACTTATAGTCTTGTTGGAGAGAGAGAGTTTGTTACTGTTTTGTCAAAGTGAATTATATAGACACAAAATTTAGTAGTACACACTTCTTGATATTAGATATACACATATACCATTCATAAAACAGGAGAAAAAAAAATAATAAAAAAATTCATGTCCAGGCAAAGTTAAGAAAAGAAAAACAAGACAGGAGAGGTCCTGAGAGAGACAGAGAGAGAGAGAGAGACAGACAGAGACAGACAAAGAGAAAAGAGGGGTGAAGGGGGGGAGGGGGGGGATCAAAAC